AAAAAAAAAAAAAAAAAAAAAAAAAAAAAAAAAAGAAGATGCCCTAAAGGCTTGCCTACAGCCTGATCTTATGGAGGCATTTTCTCAGTTGAAGCTCCCTCGTTGATGACTCTAGCTTATGTCAAGTTGACAATAAGTTAGCCACCCAACACATGGCACGTGGGGCATTTCTGGGTTCTTGGGGAACTGGCGGTTTGAGCTATGTGCAGGGCTAAAGCAAGCTAGCCATTTCATGTTGGCAAAGATTGTGAGGAAAGGCAAGGCAGTGAAGACCAATGAAAGAAGCTATTCTCCTCTTCCCCCCGCACTGGGAATGGAACCACTACCTCATACATGATAGGCGAGTGTTCTACCATGGAGCTAACCCACAGCTCAGGAAAGCCATGGTCTTTTAGTAGCCAGAACATGGAGGGAATGTTGACTCCTAAGGAATGAAAACCCTATGGGTTTGGTGAGATGCAACTAATAAAGAGAATAAGAAGTTAACACCTGTCACCAAGTTCCCAGAGGTAAACATAGCTCATGGGGGCTATGGTGATTGATTCTGTGGGACCCACAATCAGCCCTGAGCATGGCTCTGTTGCTGTTCATAGCACTACAGAGGGATGAGACTCGCAGAGCCAAGGCTTCTGAAGACAGGCTGAAGCAGAGGTTGCAAGAGCTGGAAGCTGAACTGGAAAGGGCCCAAAGCGAAGGGAAGGCTGTATATGCAGGTATGATTTGACTGGCCAGGGGGCAGGAGGCAGGGGCATCGAAGAGGACAACCAAGAAAGTCGGGGAATTCAAGGAAGGGAAATTAAGAGGAATCCTAACTGCCATACCTAATAGCTCCAGTCCCTGCGTAGGCAGGGTCCTAAGAACCAAAGACAGGTCCCTGGCAGAACATAGATCCCCACACCCTAGAATATCTGATGCCGCACACTTGATAGATGTGTGAAACAGAATGTAGCCCACAGCGCTTTATCTTTACCTTTGGGGGTGACCGGGAAGAAGAGCTAGGGTCCCCCTCTTACACTGATGTGGGGTGAGAGCTTGTTTCAAGGTCTCCCAAGTTTCTCAGTTCTGTTCCTTGACGGAGACTTTTCTCCATACGCAACCTCATTTCCTTTCTTCACACCTCCATCCCTATGGCTCCTCTTCAGAGATGAACCGCCAGCGTCGGGCCCTGCAAGAGGAGTTGAAAACCCGAAGCAAGCATCTGGAAGAGGAAGTGAGAAGTTGGCAGAAACAGCTAGGTAGTCCCCATCGCTCACCCTTTCTTTCATAGGATCCCTAACAAGACCTGGCATGGGAGAGTGGACTTAGAAAGTCCTTCTCCGGAAGTCTACAGTCTGCTGATTGAATTTTAACTAGGGTCACCTTCACCCCAACTTTCCTCTGAACAGAGTTCGGTGACACAGACCTCTGTTAGGGGCTGGATTTGGCCTCTAGGAGAGTTGACTCAGCTGTTAAGAGCACTCTTACAGAGAACCTGAACCAGCACCCTCAGAGGGGCTCACAACCATCTGTAATCCCAACCCCAGGGCATCTAATGTCCTCTTCTTTCCTTCACGGACACCCGCGTGGTGTACGTGCATACACGCCTGCAAAGCACACACACACATAAAATAACAAAATAAATAACTCTAAAAAAAAGAAAAACTTTAAAACTCTCTAAGATAGAGGTAAAGGAAAGGTAGGACTCTCACCCCATCTCCCCTTTGTCTAATCTCCCCAGGTCCAGAAGCTACCCCCCTTCACTGCCTTGTCTGTCCTAAGGAAAATGCATTTAATAGCTTAGCTGGCTTTTACAACCAAACTACAGAAAACAATAGCCTTAATTTAATTCAGTATCTTCAAGGCTGAACACCTTGTAGAAGGCCTTAAATAACTACTCGTTAAATCAGTGAATTTACCAATCAGATGAGAAAACAGAGGTCAGAAGAGGACATCAGATTCCCTGGAACTGGAGTTAAAGATGATTCTGAGCCACCAAGTGGGTGCTAGGAACAGAAACCGGGTCCTCTGCAAGAGCAGCAGCCAGTGCTCTTAACCTTTGAGCCATTGTTCCAGTCTCCTCCTGAGGTGGCCTTGAACTCACAGTGATCCTCCAGCCTCTGTCTCCGGAAAGGAAGGACTGCAGGTGAGAGCTATCACACCCGAAATGTCTCAGTGCCACTGTAAATGTTCAAGAGCTGCTTAGACAGGCCACGAATTCCATCTCCAGCCGTCTTTCGAATTAAAATTCAACATTTATTGAGCACCTCCTGTATTAGGTGTTTTGACATGCATTTTCACTTTTAAGGGTTCACAGCAAACAGGAGGAGCAAATATCATTTTCCTTCCAAAGACAAAGAAGGGGCTAGAGAGAGATCTCAATGGTCATGAACACCGGCTGCTCTTCCTGAGGGCCTGACTTTGACTCCCAGAACCCACATGGTGACTCACAACCATTATACTTCCAGTTTCAGAGGATCCAATCCCATACCCTCTTCTGTCCTCCACAGGCACATGCATACATATACACATGGGGTGGGGGCAAAATAATATTATTTCTAAAACCAAAATATAAAATTAAAAATAAATAAAAATATTTATAAAGATAATGAAACTGAACCATGTTAGTTGGTACAAGTCTATAATTCCAACCCTGGGAAACAGAGGGAAGAAGATCTGGAGTTCAAGGTTGTCCTTGGCTACAGGGAGAGTTTAAGGCCAGCCTGGGCTACATAAGACCCTGTCTTAAACAAAACAAAGTCAAATATTTAAGACATGGAGACCCAGAGATACTTGTCCCATGCTGTATATGTGACAACCACCAGACTTTGGACCCATCTCCTATCTCAAAACCTCTACTCATTCTGCCCTCCCTCAGTGAGTCCTTACAGTGACCTCAGGAAGGTTGATGATCCCGGAAGTCTGTAATGACCTTTGTCGAGGTACCCTTTTAGGTACCTTTGGATCTTGGTATAGCGTCACCATCCTGTCTTCTTTATCTTTCTGCCCTGTTCCCTAGAAACATGTCAAAGGGAGGCTAAGACAGCAAGGGAAGAGGCTGAGAAAGCCCTCAGAGAACAAGGTGAAACCCTGGCTCAGCTTCGTGCCCACGTGGCAAACATGGAGGCCAAGTATGAGGAAATTTTGCATGTAAGTACCACTCCCTAGAGACCATCTTCTCAGTATCCCAGAACCCTCCAATCCTATGGCCCCAACTAGTGTGATGATCCGCAACCTAAAGGAGCCATGTTCTATTCTAAGGGCAATCAGAAGATACAACCATTGACAGAGCCAGTGATTTATAATTCCAGTACTTGGGTGGCTAAGACAGAAAGATTTTGAGTTCCAGGTCAACATTAGCTACAATGTGCTATGTCGCTGATACATAGTGAGACCTAGACTCAAAATAATCAGGAGCTGCGGGCATAGGTCACTGGTGTGCACAGCCCTGGGTTCAATAGCTGCACAGAGGTGGGAGGAGGGAAATAGGAAGAGGAGTGGGGACAAAGAGCAGGGAAGGAAAGGAGTGGCACTGTGCAGAAGACTGAGGCAGGAGGATCATGGGTTCAAGGCCAACCTAGGTACAGAGTTCAAAGTCAGCCTAGGCAGTGTAGTAAGACTCTATCTCAAAATAAAGAGTGAAAAGAGGGATTGATGGACAGCTCAGTGGAAAGGGTACTTGCCTAGCATGTGTGAGGCCTTAGGTTCAATCCTGGGTGTTGAAAAGAGAGAGAGAGAGTGGGAGAGAGAGAACAATGGGAAGCTAAGCATGATCGTTCATGCTTGCAGTCCAGTGCTTGGGAACCTGAGGCAGGAGAATTCTGAGTTCAAAGCCATCCTGGTCTACAAAGCAAGGGTATCTTACAGAAGGAAGCAAGGAAGGAAGGAAGGAAGGAAGGAAGGAAGGAAGGAAGGAAGGAAGGAAGGAAAGAAGGAAGGAAGGAAGGAAAAGGAAGCCATTAGCAAAGAACTATTAGCAAGCTGGGCAACTTTCACCCTTCCCTCACTTCCTGGGAATGAAAGCTGGGCGTTCACAGGGAAGTCTGGACTGTCTCTTGGCCAAACTGAGAGCTGTCAAGCCTCAGTGGGATGCAGCTGCGCTGAGACTCCACACCAGGCACAAGGAGCAGCTACGTCAGTTTGGTCTCAACCCCCTGGATCTTTGAGGCCATTGGCCTCTAATCTCTGAGGCCTAGAAATAAAGCGACTTGATGTAGAATTTCAACAGAACTGGATTGTGGCCTATAACATTGATGAATGACTCTCGTGGGACACCTGTGTTCTGGGTTAATCCATTGCCCCACTGCCCTAAACACTGAGTGATAAAAAAATGAACCATCCTCTAGGAGGCTGAAGAGATGGCTCAGTAGTTAAGAGCACTCACTACTCTTCTGAAGGTCCTGAGTTCAATTCCCAGCACCCACATGGCAGCTCACAACTGTCTTATGCCCTCTTCTGGTATGCAGATGTACGTGCAGACAAAGTATCCATATACATAAAATACATAAATAAATCTTTTATTTTACTTTTTTTTTTAAAAAAAAAAAAGGCTTTGTGGTGGTGCACACNTTGGGAGAAAGAAGCAGGTGAGTCTCTGTGAGTTTGAGGACAGCCTGGTCTACAGAGTGAGTTCCAGGATAGCCAGGACTGTTTCACAGAGAAAGCTTGTCTCAAAAAAAAAAAAAAAAGAAAGAAAGAAAGAAAGAAAAAAAAGAAAGAAAGAAGAAAGAAAAAGAAATGGAGAGAGTTCTAAAGCCTCTCCTATAGAAACTAACTAGATCTCATTCCCTTAGGCCTGGAACACTTTTGGTTCCTTTAAACTACCTTGGTTTATCCTCACCAACAAAAACACAAAGTCAGATTTATATGGAAAGACTGCATAAGTATGCATATATATATATTTACTTATTTATTTGGACAGTGGCATACTAAGGTGCTCATATGGAGGCTAGAGGACAACTTCCTGGAAATGATTCTCTCCTTCTACCATGGGGTTCTGGGAATCGAACTCAGGTTGTCAGGCTTGGCAGCAAGCCCCTTTACCAACTGAGCCATCTCACTAGCCCACTGGGGAAGACAGTAACAGGACATTCCAATGGCCAGGAACCAGCTCCCAAGTTTCTAAGGTGTCCACAGAAAGAAAATATGGCTGATCTCCAAATCCTCGTGCCATATAATCCTAGAATCATAGCTAGCCTGAGTTCTCGGTGGCTTTGATGCTAAAAGGCTCCACAGCATCACTTTCTTGAGCAGAAATTCATATTTGCAGCACAGGTCCTCAAAACTTCTCCATAACATCCTGTGGAGATTTGGGCTCCCTCATGAGCCTGCCTGAGGTCTCTGCCTAAGCCCCTCTGCTGGAGGTAGGCTCACGAGAATGGAAGAAGACCCTGGAAGTCCTGCGATCTGAATCCTCCAGCTCCTGCTTCCTGCTTGGAGAGACCATTCCTGGCTTCTGCCACCTCAGGGTGCAGAGCAAGGGTAGGAAAGCCACTAGGCAAATCTGTGCCAAGCAGGGGTATCCTATAGCAGCTCTGAAGGCAGGGTCCAGTCCTACACAAAAAAGGAAGGACAGAGTCAGTCTGGGACTGGAAGAGTTCATTTTCCTGCCCCAAAATGCTCAGACCACTCAGGAATGGGACTTGCTTCAGGATCCTTCTGTCCCACCTCCTATGACCTACAGTTCCCTCTTGCACGCCCCTCTCAGCTCTACCCAGCAACCCTCCTCTCTGCCCTTCTCATAGATCTGTCTGTCTCTTTGATTTCACCTTACCGGACTCCGAGGAGATCCAGGCTTCCAAGTCCTGTGGATCCCTAGCTGCCAGCTTCAAGCAGAGGGGTGGCTCAGCCTCAGTCAGTTGCTGAAGCCTATTCAGGTCGTTGTCTGCACCCACAGGATATCCATTCACCTCCAAAACTGCATCTCCCATTTGCAGCCCTGCTCGGGCAGCAGAGCCTCCTGGGGTCACCTGGCAGCGTAGGGGGGAACACACGGAAGCATTTGTCATGTGTTCTAAGGCTGGGCAAGCAGGCAGGCAGAGGAAGGTAGGTGATAGATGATGGAAAGAGTCCAAGGCGCATGGGACATCAGTCACCTGGGAAACGAAGAGACAAGGCCTACTGGCCACACAGCAGAGCTTGAATCCATAGCCACCTCCGGGCCCAGGGTACAAGAAGCATTGGCGGGAGCCGACAGGGCTAGAAGGCTCAACTGTGTCTTCAGCTGCAAAGTCCTTCGTTTCTGCAAGAGGGGAGGCAGCATTCTCTGTGTTCTCCAAGAAGAGGAGGGGAGACAGCCGTACCTGGGGTGGGGGGCAGACAGAGCAAACCTGTGGCACTTGAGCCTTGCTCCATTCCCACCTGCCCCCCTAACCCTGTCACTTGCGCACCATGTTGAAGAAGCGGTCAGCCTCAGGATCGACGACAATGAGGGAGACGCGAGAGCCCTGCGCTCGGATCCTGGACACTGTCTCCTCATGGCACAGCCCATCCACGCTTTCCCCAGCCACAGCCACCAGGCGGTCCCCAGCCTTCATGCCAGCCTTGTCAGCTGGCAGTCCTGGGTCCACCTCCCATAAGAACTGCCCTAGGACAGAGACATATGCTAGACATATGTGACATGGACATATCACTGCTCCTCCCTGACTCGCCCCCATGCTCTCCCAGGGACTAACCCCATAGTACATGAGAGGATGCCCAAGGGCTGTGGCTCAGACTGGGGCACCTCTCATGATCACTGAGAAGTGTGCAGTTGGGTATGTATGACCATCCTAAGGCCCAGTTCCTACCCACCCCTAGGGCTGCCACTCACCGAGGCAACCGTCCAGGCCCTTCTCCTCCCGGAGCAGGAAGCCAAAGCCTTGAGGCCCTTTCTCTATGTTTAGACACCGGGGCTTGGAGGGCAGTGCCCAGCCCTCTGCCAGGGGTGCAGCAAGAGGCATTCCCAGTTGACGACACCGTTCCTCAACCTCCGGCGCTGCCACCAGCAGAGTCACCTGATAGCCACTCTGCCAAAGCTGTGGGGACCCAGCAAGAGTTTAAGCGCTGGCCATCAGCATGGGGATGGAGAGGCAGATCCCCTCAGCAACCCTCCCACACCCAAGGATGAGGACGGGCCTCTCACAAACTATAGAGAATAAAAGAGGGGTGACAGACCGACCCTCAGGTCAGGAGGCAGGGTTCAGGTAGAAAGTCACTGCAGGAAACCCTACCTTCCTACTGAGCTGGCTGGAAGTGAACTTCTCCACACTGACCCCATTTACTTCTAGCAGCCGGGCCCCAGGGGGCACCCCTGCCCTCTCAGCGGCTCCTCCAGAACTGAGAACCAGCCAGAAAGAACCCCGACATCCTAAAGGCGGACAAAGGAACTTCCAGCCTGCTGCATGCAGAGGCTGGGTTTCCCATCCCTGACTGTCCCATCTAGGGCCCTAGGCTCACCATGGGTGATGCTGAAGCCAAAGCCACCTTCATCTTTTACTACATGGCACAACCGGGGCCTGACTGCGGATCCTAGGGTAGGACAAAGGAAGGCATCGCTCCCCTGCTGAGCGCGCACCACGTCATGCACGTGCTGTGCCAAGACTGTCAGCAATACCCGGGGACCGCTGGCCCGGATGTGGCGCACTACCTATGAAAGGACACGGGAGTGAGAGAGGTTCGCCCCCGGTAAAGTCCCAGGACCCATTAGAACTTGTATTTTCACTGTAGAAACCAGCTCTGTAGGTGCCTTTATCAAATCTTTCTAGTTGGGCACCTCTAAGTCATGGGGTCTAGGAGTGAAGCTTGGCCCATGCATTAGAGTGCCCAGGTAAATGTCAGACTCCTCTTCCTCTCAGAAGTGCTATGGAATGTTCCTTCATTCCACAAGGAGTCCCGGGCCAGCCTCACCATGGCGTAGTCCTCATGGTCCACAATGTTATTGTTCACCGCTAGGATCCGGTCTCCTTCCCGGAGACCGTGGCGCTGGGCAGAGGAGCCTGGATCCACCCTGTACACCACATGGTCAGCCTTGCCCAGTTGGTACAGCAGATGGAACCCAAAGTTCTTCTGCTCCTCTCTGCTCAGCAGACAGAAGCGAGGCCGTTGCAGGTTCCAGGGATCTGGAGGAGGAGGTGGGTAGGTAGCCAGAAAGGAGGGGGGCACAGTTCAAGGACAGGACCATCAAATGACGGATAGCCTCTGCCTCCTGTCAGGACTGGGCGGCTTCCAGCCAGGGGAAGGCTGGGCTTTATAGCTAAATGGACTAAATGGACGCTGCATGGGCCAGGTGACTAAAGCCAAGGGAGAGCTGCCCCCTCTACCTCCACTCAGTTGCTGATATCAGAGGGAGTCAGCTAGCAGTTACCAAGGAGACAGGAGGCTGTGTGGCACTGTAATGTCTCTAGGGAAAGGTAATCGTTGCCAGGGGTGAGGAGGTTACCAGACTGAGCCTGGTCTTCAGCCAGAGAGAGGACAGGGTTGTCAATGCCCAGCCTTGGATTGAATTTAAACTTCCTGTGAGGAGGCAGGAGAGGCACGTAAGAGAAGTGTGTAGCTGGACTGGGGTCCCGGGTCCTACTGGGGGTGCTGATGGATTGAGACCCTCCCCCTCCAATTCTTCTTCTACCCTCACACTACTTACAGAGTTAACATGGCCGTGTCTCCAAGATCTGCTGGACAAAGAGAAGTAAGAGTAGAGACACATTCCTCCCCAGGATGGGACTTCCATGACAAGAACCTTAAAGGGCTTAGGAGAACCCCCAAACCCTCTCATTCTGCTCCGCTATCTTCACACACAGGGCTGTTGATTCTCCTTTATTTCTCTTCCCAGTTCTTTGGCACGTAAATCTAAGCCTATCAGCACAGGGTGTGAACCAGGAAGGTAGGCACGCACGCTCACTTCATTCCTCTTTCGTTCTGTCTGTTTGCCTCAGAGCTACACACCCCAATACCAAGTGTGTCCTAGACCCAAAGATTCCAAATCGGTGCCCTCTGCCACTGCCCCAGAGTCCCCTTTCAAGGATATCTCCCCTCCTACCTGCAGTTGCCTCCATAGTTGGATCAGTGACCCAGGACTTAAGAGTAGGGACAAGGTTCATTATAACCAGCTGACCCTCCCACCTGCCCCCTCCTGAGTCACGCCTCCTTGAAGACGCTGCAAGGAAGCAATGGGGTAATGGTTAACAGCAAAGGGCCTTATTCTCTGGAAAGTGTGTGTCTACGTTTCTTCTGCCCTCAGTCCTGGGCCCTACCTTTCTCGACTGAGCCTCTAACTGACCCAGCTGTTCTTATGCCCAGAAAAAAAGTAGCTCACTGGTCATTGAAATTCCAAGCTGGGGGCAGTAAAAACAAAAAGGGCGATAGGAATGCTAAGGCCCAGCGTGGACAACCTTAGCCCAGGGTCTTACACGCAGACCCTCCAGCAACAAAATTATCTAAAGATATTGGTGCCTCTCCCTTTGGCTATCAGGCTGTTCAAACA